GATCGTTTCTTACATTTGACCGAGTTTTCTTATAATAACAATTATCAATCTAGCATAGAGATGGCTCCATTAGAGGCTTCATATAGTCGGCGATGTCGTTCACCCATCAGATGATTTGATCCCGGCAAGGCCAAGTTATATGGTATTGATTTGGTGAAGGATGCCTTGGACAAAGTAAAGTTGATTTAGGAGAGACTTCGTACAGCACAGTCCAGACAGAAGAGTTACGTGGATCAGAAAGCATGTGATTTATCATTTCTGGTTGGTGAAAACGTTCTCTTGAAGGTTTCGCCGATGAAGGAAATCATGAGGTTCGGGAAGAAGGGAAAGTTGAGTCCAAGGTTTATAGGCCCATTTGAGGTGTTGAGACGAGTTGGGGAGGTTGCTTACGAGCTTGCCTTTCCTCTCAGTCTATCGGGAGTTCATCCAGTTTTCCATGTATCTATGTGCTAAGTCTAACACATGTGACAGGTCGGCATGATACCTCCGGAGCATAGATACATGAAAAATCGGATGAACTCCCGATAGACTAGGAGGCAAGGCAAGCTCGTAAGCAACCTCCCCAACTCGTCTCAATACCTCAAATGGGCCTATAAACCTTGGGCTCAACTTGCCCTTCAACCGCATCTATGGAAACGACCTTGCAGATGCGGTCCTTCCCCTAGCCGGCTCCTTCGCTTCTGCAACTAGCGACTCGCTTATACAAGACCGCTTCTGCGGTGCGTGCGTCGCACCTGCGACCTCCGTCTGCTCTTGCGATGCCTTCCCCGCACTTGCGCCTTCGCATGTGCAGTCTATTTCCCCGTTTCAGCTCCCATCTTAGACGCTTCTACGGCTCGTGGCTCACTTTTGCGAGCTCGCACCTACGGCTGGTCTAGCGCAGGTGCGATTGCACTAGAAGCTACTGCTCCTAAGTCCAAACTTGGTCCGAGCCTCGTCCGATTAACTCCCGAGACCCCTCGGGGCCCCGTCCGAACATACGAACAAGTTTGAAATCATAAAATGGACTCGCTTGAACTCTCGGAATGCGTAAAACAATATCAAAACTAAGAATCATACCCCCAAACCAAATTGATTCAACTTAGAAATTTCAAAGTCTTTCAATTTACTCTGAACGCATCGAAACATACTTAAACTACTCGGAATGACACCAAATTTGGCGTGCAAATCTTAAATCACCATACGGAACTATTTCCGGGCCCAGAATTCCGAACGGACCTCAATTACTCCAAAACCTACTCTAAACCAAATTTAAATAACTTTAAAACCTTCAAATAGCTAATTTTCACTATTAAGCGTCGAAACGCTCCGAGTTTGTCCAAAACTCAATTCGAACATACGCCCAAGTCCAATATCATCATATGAACCTATTGGAACCGTCAAATCTCGATTCCGGGATTATTTTCTCAAAATTTTGATCGAAGTCAAACTTATCCTTTTTAAAGCCAACTAAAGAACCAAGTGTTTCATTTTCAACCTGAACCCTTCAAATTCCTGAACTAACCATCCCCGCAAGTTATAAAACAGTAAAAGCACATACGGGGAGTCTTATTTAGGAGAACGAGGTTCTAGAAGGTAAAACGACCGGTTGGGTCGTTACATTCTCCATCTCTTAAACAAACGTTCGTCCTCGAACGGGTTTAGAATCATACCTGGAGTGCTGAAATAGTGTGGATATCTGCTCCGCATGTCCTCTTCGGCCTCCCAAATCACTTCCTCGACTGGTTGGCCCCTCCACTAAGCCTTTACCGCAGAAATCTTATGGACCTCAACTAGCGAACCTGCCTATCAACAATAGCAATCGGTTCTTCTTCATAACCCAAGCTCTCATCTAGTTGAATTGTGATGAAGTCTAACACATATGACAGGTCGGCACGATACCTCCTGAGCATAGATACATGGAAAACCGGATGAACTATCTACGCACAGACTCTCATCACCTCGTACATACGTAGCCCTCCATAATTAGAAATAAATATTTATTTACAACACCTATTGGGTAAATTTCCTCTTACAAGGTTAGACAATAGACTTACCTCGTCTCAAAGCTCACTTCCCGATCACAATTTCGCGTTAAAGCCTCAATTTGGTGCCAAAAATCCGAAACTAGCCAAATGTTATATAATTTAATCAATACATGCTCAATAATTCAAAATTAAATTATTAGATTAATTAACCAACCCAAATTGGTAAAATTTCTAAAATTCATCCCAGGTCCACGTGCCCATATTTCGAAAAGTTTCGGAGGAAATCGTCACCCATAACCTCAAGAACTCAAATATATAATTTTCATCCCATTCCATAACCATTTTCGTGGTTAAAATCTCATTTTTACCAAAACTTAGGTTTTTCATCTAAACCCTTGATTTTCATAATTTGCATGTTATAATATACCCATAATCTATGTATTTAACTCACAATAGGTAGAATTAACTTACCTCCAAGTTGCTAAGTGAAAATCCCTCTCAAGAATCTCCAAAATCGCCTAAGAATGGAGGAAATGGGCTAAAATATGGATGAGCCCTGACTTAAATGAAGTTTCTGCCTTCTGTGATTTCCGCATCTGCAGCTCAGCAACCGCATCTGCGGAAGGGCCTTGCAGATGCGGTCTTTCCCCTAGCCGGCTCCTTCGCTTCTGCGACCAGCGGCTCGCTTCTGCGAGACCGCTTCTGCGGTGCGTGCGCCGCACCTGCGACCTCCGTCCGCTCCTACAATGCCTTCCTCGCACCTGCACTTTCGCAGGTGCGGTCCATTTCCCCGCTTCTGCCGTCACTGGCAGCCCCCCTCTATGCCGCTTCTGCGGCTCATGGCTCGCTTCTGCTAGCTCGCACCTGCGGCTCATGGCTTGCTTCTGCTAGCTCGCACCTGCGGCTGGCCAAGCGCATGTGCGATTGCACCAGAAGCTGGAAGCTTCAGCTGCTGCTCCTAGGTCCAAACTTGGTCCGAGCCTTGTCCGATTAACTCCCGAGACCCCGTCCGAACATACCAACAAGTTTAAAATCATAAAACGGACTCGCTCGAACCCTCGGAACGCGTAAAACAACATCAAAACTAAGAATCATACCCCAAACCAAATTGATTCTACTTAGAAATTTTAAATTCTTCCAATTTACTCTGAACGCGCCGAAACATACTTAAATTATTAGGAATGACACCAAGTTTGCATGTAAGTCTTAAATCACCATACGGAACTATTTCGAGGCCCGAAATTACGAACGGATCTCAATTACTCTAAAACCTACTCTAAACCAAATTAAAATAACTTTAAAACCTTCAAATAGTTAATTTTCACTATTAAGCGTCGAAACGCTCCGGATTTGTCCAAAACCCGATTCGAACATACGCCCAAGTCCAATATCATCATATGAACCTATTGGAACCGTCAAATCCCGATTCCGGGGTCGTTTTCTCAAAATGCTGATCGAAGTCAAACTTAGCATTTTTAATGCCAACTAAGGAACCAAGTGTTCCGATTTCAACCCGAACCCTTCAAATTCTTGAACTAACCATCTGCACAAGTCATAAAACAGTAAACACACATACGGGGAGTCTTATTTAGGGAAACGGGATTCTAAAAGGTAAAACGACTGGTTGGGATAGAGTTACTACTTGTTGTTGTTGCTTCTTTTTTCATTTTTCTTGAGTCGGGGGTCTACCGGAAAGGGTCTTTCTACCTTGTCAATGTAAGGGTAAGGTCTGTGTACACACTACCCTCCCCACTCGTGAGATTCAACTGGATTCGTTGTTGTTGTTTGTTGCATTACTAATTCATGCATAATTAGTTTCTTCCTTATAATCTATGATTGCATTATTAATTGCTGCATAACTTGTCTTTGAATCAAATGACCCTTAATTATTTGATGCAATATTTGTAACTTTAAACCCAATTTTCGTCATCCATTTGTGCTAAGAATGTGATTCTTTAGACAAGGACTGCTAAAAATAAATATTTTCCAAATGTAAAAGAGTGACTCTTTCGGGAATAGAGAGTTTTACTTTAAACAAATTTATCCCAATGTATTTTATACTTCAGTCCAACTTTCAATGCTAATTGTTAATGGACAAAATCCAACACCGGTCGATTCAATATATAGCTGAATCTACCGTTTCTAACATTTAAAATACGATTTGGCTTTTATTGCTAGTGAATTATCTACGTATAACATAGTTCCTATTTATCTGAAGGACTTAATAAAAATTGCATTCCTCTTTTCACAAAGTAGCAAAAAAGAATAGTTAATCTGAAATACCAACACAGTGCTCACTCTTTAAATATTTAATAATTTTCCCCACTTTATTCATGGTAAAAGTTACTAATATAAATTTAATTAATTTGCAAAAGGCACCTAACAACACTTCCTCTCCTTCAAATCTTCACCAATAAGAATTCCCCACTTTTGGATCTAACATATAAAGAAGAAAAGAAATAGCTTTGGACTGCTTCCTTTTTTTAAGCTATATTAACCAAAGCAAAGAAAAAGCAAAAGTACAAAAGTGAAATTCAAAAATATTTAAAAGGAAAATTCAAGAAACAGAATCTTTCTGAATTTTTAACAGATAATTTGAAAGAGATTTCGCCCTATCAACACTGACCTCCTTTATAGTTTATAATATTACGCATATTTTTCTTATTTTAATTTTTTTGTAATCATTATTTAAACTCATTTAAAATAAATATAAATAAAATATAATTTGATAGATTTATCCTTTTTAATGTTGGGTTACCCTATACAATTTGATAGATTTACCCTTTTTAATGTTGGATTTACCCTTAACTTATTAGTGTAGGTTTATTTTTAAAGAATTTATTAAGTTATGTTGATAATGCTTATTACTAATTGAAAATAATTAATATTAAAAAGAGAAAATCTGTCAAATTATATCTTATTTATATTTATTTAAAATGAGTTTAAAGAATGATTACAAGTAAATCAAAATAAAGAAGATAGTAATATTGTAAATCACAAGGGAAGTAAGTGTAATAGGGCAACCCAAAGAGAGATCTCTGAAATTATCCAAATTTTTAAATATAAAAGCCTAAAAAGCCTCAATTTGCATTTACATTGGACCAGTTAAAACATACAAAACACTCACCGGTCACACACTTCTACCCTACAAAGACATTAAACAAAACTACAGGGACTAAAATAACAAAATCCAAATAGAAATTTTTGATAACCAACAGTTAGCATTTAGCACTAAAAGTCCTAAAACAACTTTTCCCTTTTCAATTAAGCCCCTACTTCTGCAGCCACCGGAGTCTTCACCTTTGGCGGCCTTCCTCTTCCTCTAGGAGTGCCACTCGGCGACGGAGCTACCGACGGGGAAGGCGAGCTCGTGTCGTTTGGGAACTTACGTGGCCGTCCACGTTTCTTTCCGGTGCCACCAGAAGAAGGAGAAGTAATTTTCATGGGTACTGCAATAGGCGCGTGCGGGTCACGCTCCTTCGGCGGCCGACCACGTGGTCGAGGTGGAGGAGGTACGTATCCTTCTGGAAGTGGAGCCTTGGGCTTCGGAGGACGGCCACGGCCACGGCGTGGCGGCGCGTTGGGATCAGGCTTCATGTAATTGTTCTTGACCATAACGAGCTGACCACTTTGTTTCATTTTGTTCAGGTGATGTGCTAGGAGTGTACCATGTGCTGGTGGTAGTGTACCATAAGACGCATCAATTTGCTTTGCAATTGCTGATTTATTCGAACCATTTTCGTCGTTCAAAGCTTCTATAGCTTCCATTATCATCTGCAAAGAAAACATGAACTCATTAATTCCCTTTACAGTTTGAGCTAAAATACATACAAATTCAAATTCTACCCTTAAACATCAAAAAGATAAACAACAAACTTGAACCAAAAAAAAAAGTTCATATTACTCACATCGGGGTAAGAAGGCAAAATTGAAGGAGATGAAGGCGGAAGCTGAGTAGGAGTTGGGTTATCAATTTGTTGCTCAGTAGCCATGTTTTTGCTTTTTGTAAATCAGAAAACCAAAAAAATAAAAAGCAAAATGATGAGAGGGGAATAGTACTGTAGAAGGAGAAGCTGAGCTAAGAAATATTTTTGGATGCAAGAAAATTAGCAGAGGTAGAAGTGGATTTAAATGGATCAGATCAAAGGGAGGAGAAAGAAATGAGGAAAGTTGGGAGAGGATCTAACGGTTGGGGATTTGTTTTGGGCATCTTAATCGACGGTATAGAAAATTGTGAGAAACGTTTCACGCGGATCCGTGACGTGGCTGTGCTTGTCGCTATATATTTCCAGAACTTTAAGATAATGAATTCATGACATATTTTAATATAGGATTTAGCTTACGTATTATGACACTGTAAACATTTGTTACACTGTTTTGCATATATTGTTTGTTTAATTTCCGGATTCCGGATAACTAATTATATTTGTTGTTATATTTTAAAGGACTTGATAGGATTATGTGTAAAAAAGATTTTGTATTACTCTCCAACATATTTACTTGTCATTTTAACATGTTGCCCGTCGTTTTAAAAAACATTAATAACGCGAGTTATTTGATTAAAGTATCCTTATTTATTTCTTTAATTTTTAATCTTTAACAACTGAGAGCTTTTACTTGCTAATAAATTATCATAATTATTAAGTTTTTAGGCGGATTAGAGTTGAGGAGGTTGAGGGGGTTTTGCGTAAGATGAGCAGGGGCAGAGCGACCGGGCCGAATGAAATTCCGATGGAGTTTTGGAAGAGTGCGGGTAAGGCGGGCTTGGAGTGGCTCACTAGGTTATTTAATGTCATTTTTAGAACGAAAAAGATGCCCGAGGAGTGGAGGTGGAGCACGATGGTTCCTTTATACAAGAACAAGGGTGATATCCAAGTGAGGTCAGGAGGGAGTCAGGGGGCGGACCCACATGGCGTCAAGAGGGTTCAGTTGAACCCGCTTCGTTGAAAAAAAAATACTATGCATATTGAAAAATTATATTTAAGCAGATAGTATTTATAGAGAAAATAATAAATTGAACCCTCTTTAAAGGAAGATACTCTTTGTCGAGGAGGTCGAGTGGGTTCAAAATGTTTGGAGGGTGCCAAGTTCGAATCCCATTTCATCCATCTTCCAGTTAGTTCTTTTAATCTCCCTCCTTGGAGGGAGTGTATGCAACCAATGGCCAAGATTGTGTTTGAGATTAACCAGAGTCCTTCTAATATTACTCTTGTAACGACTCGACCGGTCGTTTTGAGCTCCAGCACGTCATTCGGCGGTTTGATGCCTTGAGTAGCTTCACTTAAGGTATTATGACTTGTATGTGTGGTCGAAATTAAAATTCGGGAAGTTCGGAGTTGAATTGGAGAGAAAATTCTAATTTCAGGAGTTTTAAGTTGGAGAAGTTGGCTCAGGGTTGATTTTTGAGTTAACGACCTCGAAATCAGGATTTGAAACTTCCAACAGGTTCGTATGATGATTTTGGACTTAGGCGTATGTCCGGAGCGGGTTTTGGATGGCTCGGGAGCGTTTCAGCGCCTATTATGGAAGTTGGCATTTTTGGAAGAAATTCCTAAATTTGGGTTGAAGTGCATTTCAATGTTATTGATGTCCGTTTGGGATTCCGAGTCTGGGAATAGCTCCGTATGGTGATTCTGGTATTGGGAGCGCATCCGGATGTGGATTTGGAGGTCCGTAGGTCATTTTGGGGTCATTTGGCGAAAGTTAAAAATTTAAAGGTTTTTGAGAAGTTTGACCGGGAGGGACTTTTTGATATCGGGATCAGATTCCGATTCCGGAAGTTGGAGTAGGTCAATAATGTCGAATGTGACTTGTGTGTAAAATTTGAGATTAATAGGACGTGATTTGATAGGTTTCGGCATCGAATATAGAAGTTTGAAGTTCTAAAGTTCATTAAGTTTGAATTTTAGGGTGATTCGTATTTTTAGCGTTGTTTAATGTGACCTAAAGGCTCGACTAAGTTCGCATGATATTTTAGGACTTGTTAAAATATTTGGTTGGGGTCCCGGGGGCCTCGGGTGAGTTTCGGATGCTTGACGGATCGATTTTTGGACTAAGGAAAATGCTAAGGCAGCTGGTATCTGGTGTAACCGCACCTGCGAGGTTTTGGCCGCAGGTGCGGAGCCGCAGAAGCGGCCAAGAGGGTCGTAGAAGCGGTTTTGGAGTGCCATCTTATTCTCTATTATGGGGTAAGAGACTTCTTCTCATTTTGGGTTAAGTACATGGTTTATATATGGATTTAAACATAGAATTGAGTAGAAATTTGGGATTTTGAAGAAAACCCTAGAAATTGGTATTCTTGGATTTTGATCATGAATTTGGGCATGAAATTGAGAATAAATTATATATTTGAGTTCGTATTGCTATAGGTAGTGTTTGTCTTTGAAAATTTTCGGAATCCGGCATGTGGGCCCGAGGGTTACTTTATCGATTTTTCGAGCGGAGTTGAAAATTATTATAAATTGATTAATTATGAGTATTAGAGTATATTTTGATTAGGTTGCATCTTATTTGACTAGTTTTGGATCGGCGGTCATCGATTTGAGGTGTTAGGGCGGTGTTGGAGCCGGTTTTGGAACGTCAGAGTAAGGTAAGTCTCATATCTAACTTTATGAGGGAGAAACTACCGCTAGGTGGTATATTTGATGTGTATAACTTGTTGCGGGGACTACGAACGCATGAGGTGACGAGAGTCCGTACGTAGTTAGATTCATGTTATTGTCCGGGTAGACTTAGGTTCACACCATGTTGTACTTGTACTATAGGGATTATCCTTGCTTGTTTAATTCCTTATTTTACATATTTACTTGAGACTGGTTTTTGTTAAAGAAATTACAACTCAGACGTTTATTCGTGACTGGGGTCAAGGACCCGTCAAAGCTTCTTATTCTAATGGGATCTAGTCGTTCGCCTCGGCAGGATTATGTATTTCACTCTTATGGGATCGGATCGTTCGCCTCGGCAGGATTTATGCACCGCACTCTCATGGGAGCGGCCCGTTCGCCTCGGCAATTTAATAGATGTATCTATGGTTCGGGCCGTTCGACCCTCGACAGTTCACAGTTTAAATTCTTATGTTAGATCGGGTCGTGCGCCTCGACATTTCCTATATCATATCCTCACGGATTCGTGCGTAATATTTGGCAAAAAGCCAGTATATCTGTGAGTTTTCCCGATTTAAATTATGACGATCTATCTGATGAGATACACTATATATATATATGCTCTGGTTAAAGAGGAAATTTCTAATGGAGAGCTTGAGTTCCTCGTAAAGAGGGGAAATTTGTACCACGTGATTTATTACTTGTTTACCTCATTTATTTTACTCTGCCTTATATTTACTTGTGTATTTACTGTACCTGATGTTATTGGACCACTAGTGAGCATCTATGTCGATCCTTCATCACTACTCCCCCGGGGTTAGGCTAGATACTTACTAGGTATACGTTGATTACGTACTCATGCTACACTTGCTACACATTTTTGTGCAGGTACATATATGACTAGTGGCCTTGTGAGAGCATAGACGTGTATGTATGTAGGGACTTACGTGAGCTGCATTCCACATTACGACCAGCAGCCGGCAGAGTCTCCTTCAGAGTAATTATATTTCTCCTGTCCAAATTTGTATTCCGGACAGAGGGTGATTATGAGTTGTTCTGTATTGAAATTTTTAAAAATATTATCGTTACTCTGTAAATTCCAGCTTCTACTATTTAATGAAAGGAAAAATATGATTTCAAAATATTAAAACGAGAACCAAAATGAGTATTTATTGTTGACGTGCCTGACAGCGGTGTCCGGCGCCATCACGACCTTTATTAGATTTTGGGTCGTAACAACATGGTATCAGAGCGCTAGGTTCACTTAGGTCTTACGAGTCATGATCGAGTTTAGTAGTGTCTTGCGGATCGGTACGGAGGCGTCTGTACTTATCTTCGAGAGGCTACAAGGCTGTTAGGAGCACTTCCCTTCTTGATTCCTCATCATGAGAATTGATTATTTTGAGGCTTGTACCTTTATTTTTTTCCTATCCAATCTTGTGCGATGTGAAGTGCTTGTTATAAATTGGGAATCGAGGAATTGTAATGGTACTACAGATGTGGTGCAGGATATTTCTCCCTGCGTATTTGATTGGGCTAGAGTCATCGCCTTGCGGAAGGCTGTTCTATCGTTTCAGCTCAGTATCAGTATTATCTAAGGTTTTGAGATTTGGCATTGATTGTTATGACAATTCGTGTGTTGCTATCGCACAATATTTGTGTAATGGTAGGACGCTTGCCTATCCGTCGAGGCAGCGAATAACTTGAAAGGAGTTTTTGCTCAGTGCATGATTCAGAGATTCAATATTTTTATTTCCGGTTGAGGAAAGACAATCAGACTGAGAATGTCAGGTTTGGGTTGATAGGGTGACGAGACTTGGTATTTTTGAGCGTGGTGAAATTTTCATCTGTGATGTGGTGTCATCGTTCGTGTTGAACACATTAAGGTTCACCGATGTTATGGTCTTCTTCAATTTGCCTTCGGGGCAGGGTGTTGTGAAATGGTGCCTTAGATGCAGTTGTCAGAGATAACAGAGTGTAGCGATTTCGAAATCGAAATGGTACTTCTAGTATTGATGGCTCGAGAAAGATGATCTTCTAAAAGGTTTATGTTGGTGGCGACTCATGTGATCAAATATTACAAAAATGGATTAGGGTTTGGAGCAACACTTGTGCAGTGAAGGACGAGGAAGGACATGCGGGAGGTGTCTTGTGGTGGTTGAATTGTTAGGAGGTCAAGTGTGAAAAGTAGAAGTCGAGGAGTTGCCTAAGGGAGAGGGTTTGACCAAAGTGGGAGAGTGGCAGAGTAGCATATGGGTTCTGTGGTAGGATAGCCACACGCCTTGAGGGAAGCTTAGAGAAATTTGGGAACCGTGATGGGCAGTGACTAGGACCGTGGATTTTATTTTGATGCAACATGACTTCGAGTTTGGAATGCGTTGTTAGACTTTTAGCTGATGTCAATAGGGAAGGAGGAACCTTGGTCCCAGGGTTATGTAATTGTAGCTTCAAGCTAAGTGGGAGAGCCCCACCGTCTATGATTGGATTGCGTAGTTGTCAACTTGTGCGATTTCT